ACTAGATACTGAGACCATAAACTCATTAGTAAACCGTTTACTGAGCTCATAAATGAAAGAAGAAGTTGGCCTCACTTCACAGACCCAAAAGCTCTGTCCAATATATGACACAGTCAATGGTCAAATCTGACAACACAGGGCAATAAAACAATGTTGTTGGTGTCAGCAGCTGTGACGTGCGGGTGGTGTGCAGCGACTCTGCAGGCTGTGTCAGTGTTCTCTCCATGGCTGAAGGTGCCCTGACGGCTCTGTCTCAGTGGAAGGCCCATGACTTCGAGGCCTGGATCTCCGCCTTTTCCTATTGGGACACACAGCTGGTTTATTCTGGTAACACTCCTCTACATCTGTCACATTTTAAATGGGTACTTTTGTGTATGTAACTTTGTTTTATGAATTGAAAACATTCACTGTAAGAATTATAGTATCCCAGACAAAAACATTTGTTGTATGAAATTTTCCTGAAGTCTTAACTAGCGTAAAGACGTCATAAACAGACCTGCTGCTGTCAGCTCAATGTCAGTATGGTGCTCTGACGTAGACCTCAAACCAGAGCTCTGTAGTCTGAGCTCCTTTAGCGTGAGCTTCCATAACTCAAATACGAAGAGAACAAATGTAAATATTGGCCCTTTAATCTGGACTACAATGGTGGTATGCGCCAAAAATAAACATATTTTGCTGTGATTTAATGTATTAAATCAAAAGATCAAAAGGATGCTGAAATAACAATCATGATGGCGTTTGGTGAAAAAAGGGGCGTGTTGGGGGATGCAAGCATCGCGACTTTGTATATAATCTACTGAAGTAAATTATTTTCTTCTTTCTACGCACCATAATGGAGATCCCATCGCAATCATTCAAATTTGGCCCCTCCTCCCCATTTTGAGCAAACCAGAGAGCACCTTTGGTCGAGCTACATAGGGAATGAAGGGAGGGAGCACAGTTAGTGAGAACAGAGCAGTGAATCAGAGAAATCAAATGCTATTTTTGGATTGTCACACAGCCATTACATTCTCTGCTCAGCCCTGTGTGAATTTTGTGCACATGCACCGAAATGTAGCTTCATTTTTCTGAAAATGCTGCACAGTATGCCTTTAAGTAACAGTACATACTGTGTAGGTATTATCAGCAAAATGTACCTAAAGTAAAGAGTACAATATGCTGGAGTTTTTTGATATGATTATATATATATTATTAATCAATTATTGTTATTGCATTGATGTGTAACCAGTATTTTGGTGCATAAGAGGGAGCCTATTTGAACTGCTATATATTTTAATTAATTTATTTCTGGATGTTGTTTTTCTTCAACAGGTGGTGATGACTGCAAACTTAAAGGCTGGGATCTCAGGGTCGGTCCCTCCTCCCCCACTTTTACCAGTAAAAAGCACTCGATGGGTGTGTGCAGCATTCACAGCAACCCACATCGTGAACACATCCTGGCTACAGGCAGGTGAATATCCCAATGAACTCTGCATGGCATTCTCTGAGAGAATGACCTTTTGTACTATTTTGACTGCTTCATGTTTTTTGGCCTTCATGTCCTAAACTGAAGCTTTCTCACTCTTTGATTAAGTCTTGTGCTTCTCTCTGCAGCTATGATGAGCAGGTCTTGCTGTGGGATGGCAGGAACATGCGGCAGCCTCTCAGTGAGAGTTCCCTGGGTGGTGGAGTGTGGAGGCTGAAGTGGCATCCGACCCATCAGAATCTACTGCTGGCAGCCTGCATGCACAATGACTTCCATATCCTTAACTGCCGGCCGGCCCTCGGTGAGTGTGAGGGAGAGGTGGGCAAGAAGTACTTGCTCTGGGTAGTTAACTTTTTTTGTTTTTGTTTGTAATGGTTATTCCGTTTAATTTAGTTTAGTTAGTGTTGGGTCTCAGTCAGAACAGGTTTTTCTTTGATTAGAAGATTGGTCCCAACATATCATTCGTAGCCTTGCTCATGGCATAGCACCCTGCTGTTCAGGAGAAGACTGATCTTATCTTATCTTAGTGTCGCGACCAACCACGCGCCAAGTAGTACAATGCATATGGCCGCTCCGGCGTGAGCGTCACATGTGCGCTACGTCAGTTGAGGGGAACGGACATAGGTGTAAAAGCTTTAACCATGATGTCGCTCCCGAGAACAATTGCTCTCGACCACCGGTGTGCATCGCAACACAATAAAACACACAAATAGACGAACAACCCAAAGCCCACGTAACGCCATCCTCGCCCCCTAACAGCCGGGAACAGCCAGTTGAGTCAAATAAGCGTCCCTCTCAGTTACAGCCAGCGGTTAAAGCACAGGTTACTCATACATTTAACTTTAGCCATTTCTTACACACACGGAAAAATAAACAACTCTGCCAGTCCGCTAGAAAGAAATAACCTACGCAAATAACCGCCACTAGTAGGGTAATCCCAGGGAAAGAATACGGTACAAAGGGATGAGTGACGTCAAGCTATGACGACCACGCCCTTCACAAAAGTTGGGTGGGACGTCACAAGGCGCGAAGCTGGAAGATGGGCAGGCGTAAATGTAGCGATGGAAAAGAGCCAAGCGCGGCGACACAGAGGGGGCGGACTGGCCCGTAACCAGAGCACAACTACACCCTCACGGCAAACGCGCCGCCATCAGACAAGCAAGACACGAAGACAAGCGCGCGCCGCCCATTCGCTACGGACCCGGCTCTGAAGCCGTTGCAAAAACGAGGAGACGAGCAGTTGAAAGAAACAAATTATAAGTTCGAAATGTATGTTAACGACAACAGACCGTCAACGATGCACGTAAGTCCAGTAAGTGGATGCAATGGGTTGTAATCCTGCAAGAAAGGGAGAACAAAGACAATGTCAACGTAAGCAAATATCTCATGGCCTTGTGCCTGTAGGCTGTGAAGTTGCGGGTTCTGTGTTTAAGAACATAGACCCTACAGGTGCAGCTAATTGGGGATAAACCCAGTAGAAGAAAACACGGTTAGTGAATTTTAGGGTCTTTGAAGGGAACTTAACCCAATAAAGTATAGTTGAAAAAGTAGAATTGGCCAGACTATGACAGAATGAAAGAGTATATAAAAGGAGAGACTGGAAGCATGAAGTCAGCCTTCCTGGATGGCTCGGGCTTTGTCTGAAAGATAATCAAACTCTAACTACTGAAACTTGACAATCCTGATGAATTCATTTCACTAGACTATAACGAAGCAGTTATTTTTTGGAAGCCTAGTTGAGACTCAAATTC